TGATCTGCAGCAAACAGTACAGCAGTTTGACCCCTGAAACAGTGCATCTGTGTGCGGGAGTGAAAGTAAAAATTTACCAAATTTAGATCTACATTTTTAAGCTTGATTAAAATCCTTGTTCCGACTGGCAAACTGTAAGTTTTAGCGCGCACTTTCGGGGCGACATTCAGTTGCAGTTGGATTCTTGCTGGTAGAAGAAATCTAAACCTGTGTCGCATATATTTGAGTTGCTAATGTAAACAAACCAACATAGCGGCGGGACGGCAAATCTTAACCAGTGCCCAGAATTAAAGTTGGGACATATGATCTGGAAAACTACGATGCATGCATAGGCCTGCTTTTGAAACAAATATGATCATCTCATTGCTATCAATTAAATCTTTAATGAACAACAAATAGAATAATAATAATGTAGGCTAAAAACATTTTTCGCCTCTCCAGTAAAAAATATGTCTCACTACCGACACTACTGCACGGGATTCGTTGTTTACACTCTTAACGATGGCAGGCCGCTCTCACTCTCTGCCTGCACACAATAAATTATGGTTCAAGGAACAGAGAGCCTGTACGAACATAATGAGACATGAGCACGAGACTAATTTTAATGCTCTTGCACGACGGTAGAAGGGTTATAAAATATTCCGACCAAATGGGTGAGGGCGTTAAATCGTGTTTAATAATTAAGCAATCCAAGCTCTTTTCTTCACTTTCATTTTTTTTCTTTTATTCTTTCTTTTTCTTTTTTTCTTTCCTCCTCTTTCCTCTACTCAATCCAAAAGTAAAAGAGACTAATTTCTGGGATTTGGCTCCTAATCCGAACTGACAGCCCTGACTGCGACTATTTGAACATGAACACGATCCTGCGGAGCCTGAGCCTCGGCAAAACGAGGGGGTGAAAATAGCGAGACACACCCCATTCCTCTCTCTATTTCTGATCTCTCTTCTCTCCCTCCTACTAGATCTAGTCTGACCCACCATGCCCCTTTCCCCCTCCCTTCCACCCTCCCCCTCTTTCGTTTTTAGTATGAATTATGAAATGCTCCCACACTCCTCTCAATATTTTCACTGTTCATTTTTCAGAACGTAACTGAGCCTCATCACCGATTAGTATGACCACAATCTCTATGAGGCTGTCAGGTGTTATCGCATAAAGTTGACCTTTCACTTGACAAGAGAAGTGACCAATCCAAGGTACCACCATGGATCCCAGACACCTAAATCGTTTGAAAGAGGAGCAACAGAAAGCAATATATGAAACAAAAGAGCGCATCAAACAATGGTCAGTGTGCTGTTCTCTAAATTTCATTTTTTCTCCATTGCCAATGTCAATTTGTCCTGGTCATTTTGTTACTAAATCAGGATTTTGCTTTTGTTTTAAATTAAGACTCATCTGAAACTGATTAAAGTAGGTAAAAACTGCCTCCACTGCCTATGCTGATCAAATTTACGTAAAAACTTTTTATGGCTATCACCCCTAGTAGCCTACTGTTCTGTTCTTTCACTTCAATTCTGTAACGATTTGAAAACATTGTTCACTGCACAGTAAAGACAAGTTTGGATCCAGTTCCACTGTGGGGAAGTTTATGAGTAAATGGAAATACAGTCGAACCTACCTTAACAGAAACCTGTATAAAACAGAACCTGTCTTAACGAAATCTTCGTAATCCCCCTTGATATATTCCTCTTTAATTACCTGTATAATACGGAAATCTGTCTAACACGGAAACGGAAAGAAAGATCCGCTCTCTTCCGAGGGTTTTACCTGTCTAATTGGGAGAACACAAAGGCGGATGATTTCTGTCACCAGATCACTGGGCGCCGTAAGTTATAGGAATCCATCTATACCATTTCTACAAGCACTCAGAGACACAGCCTACTCTCTGCGCCGATCTGCGGGATCGGTGGCGGCTTATTTTATAGGAATTAAATTTTGATTCCTACTTGCCAAAAGCCGCTGCTCAGTGCAAAAAGTGCCCCGTCAGTGGGCTGTCACCGTATGTGTGACGTCATAGGGCTGGACTGGGGACTTCTTCAATTGACTGTTATCTCAAAAAAGGAAATGTCGTAGACAAAATCTGATTTGATATTTGAAATCAGCTATCCAAATTTTACAAGCTAACGGAGCAGAATTTGAGTTTGTGAAGTATTTAAATCCTCAGATTGTAGTTACTGAGTTGAAAACTGTGCTCTCTGTGTTGTGTGTGCGTGCACATGTGTGTGTGTGTGCGCGTGTATGTTCAACAAACACAATTGTTCACATATTTTGTTTATATTTTAACGTGAACAATGCCTTGGTTTCTGCTGTATGTAAACGGTCTCCGGTATGGGATAAAAGAGATAAATTTTAAGCAAATCGAATAATCATAGACAAGCTGTTTAAAGAAATCACCCTTGAGGTAAAAAAAAAAAAATGAAAGTAAGTCGCTTGCATGCCTATTCGTTTTTTCTTTAATTTTAAAAGAAAGCTATCCAAGATTCAAAATTCTTCATCCAAAGAAGACAACATGTTGGAAATTAACACATGACTGTTGTTCACACATGACACTTAATGTGAAGCTCAACCTGTCAAATCTAGATCTAGTTCAGAGGGACAGTCTACACGCGCTGAAAATATGTGTTCTTTATGTTCTACCTCGGAAAGATGGGCGCAGAGCGCATATGTCACTGGGACACCGAAACATTTTCGGTGGCCTCTCTGTCCTCACCCTAAGACGGAAAATGCTTTGCCCGCTCAGCCCTGATTTGAAACAGTACTCTCAAGTGTGGTTCGGCCGGCTCTAAACTTAACGCCATGCCACTGGGTGAGGAAGGGGAGTAGGGGTGCAATTTGGGGTAGATCTTGATGTTACCCCATCTATTTGAGCCCCGAGCGATGCAGATGGTCAGGTTAGAGTGGGTGTGATATCTCACGAGTGCCAGTGAAAGTGCTCCAGTAGCGAGCTACTGTAGTCTCCGCCTAAACGCACGCCATACAAAAGCACGCTCCGCTCAAACGCATGCTTTCGTCATCTGATGAGTTTTTTATTATATAATTTAGACGTACAAAAGCACAGTCATTCCCTCTAAACGCAGGCTCAGATTTGTGAAACATACACCGACAGGTAAAGCTTGACAAGGAGAAATTTTCACTATAACCTGCACAGCCTGCATAACTTACACATTAGACAAGCCAAGAAAAATGGATATTTGGTGAGCGTGCCCCTCACGCCGAACAAAGAATGATGGACAGCGTTTTCCTCACCCAACTTTCCACAGACACATGAGGTCTAGTACTATTGGGTGAAAAGTTGGGGGGGGGGGCGATTGGGGGACTGAAATGTTTTTTGATTGGTCACTGGAAATGTATCTTTTGAGAGAAGGTTTCTGACTGGTGTTTGGGTGACTGCATGTAATCATGTTTAGTTAGACTTCAAACCTAGAAACTGATCTAGAGAGGCCTGACGCGCGACTCACGCAAATGCCGTGAAACACTACAAGACTATACAGGCCTCTATATGATTAAAGATTAGCCAAATAAGCCTAATCAGCTGCGCTCCAAGAACTTATGACGTACTTTTTCAACAAATGAGAAAAGAAATGTTTTTCTGAATGTAGAGATCTATGATTCTAATGTCGTCCATTAATTTATGGTCGGGGGTGGTTGCTTGGAAAGCCACGTGGCTGGGCCGTCGTCTCTATGACTATCACTAAGTTTCCTCCTAGGCTATCTGTTCCTGATGTTTTATAGTGCATGCATTACATTGAATTTGTCTTTCTCTCTCTCTCCCTCTCCCCCTTTCTCTGTTTCTCTCTCTCTCTTTCTCCCCCTCTTCCCCCCTCTCTGTCTCTCTCTCTCTCTCTCTCCCATTCAACGCCTTTGTATTCTTAACCCCAGTCGGGGAACCCTTCACAAAACAGTCACGTGTTGTCACATTATCGACCAAAATGACCCCCACCATCCAAGGAAGGTCACTACAGTAATAATAAGGAATTGAGATGACTGCGTCCCTTCCTCCCTTTGCAAAGGTTCATGTAAACGCACGCTCCGTGTAAACACCCGCTAAGGAGTCCTCCAGAGCACCGTGCGTTTAGGCGGAGACTACTGTACCACAGAAACTTTCTTGGGTAGCCAGATCGTACGGTGGCATTGGTTGACTGTACTTGTTATGGATGGGTGAAGCTAAGGGTGGAAGCAAAGGAGATGTTCAACCATTTCTGTTTTTAATAGATCAAACAGTGGTTCTGTGAAATGCGAGCTCTGGTGGTAATTGGATAAGTAACGCTGATGCTTGTCATTATCAGAGAGAATAGCAGTTGAGAGGTCTGAAGTTTTGACCACTGTTTGCCGACCGGAGGAACGATCCTTGATCCCACCGGCTGGGCCTTTGTAATCCCCCTCCATCTCCCCCCCCCCCCCCCTAAATTCCCCTGTCTAAGACAGAATTTTTTTCTGACTCTCTTGCGATTCCATCTTACACAGGTTCGACTGTATTTGTTTTGTTTTGCTAGGATGCTGTTGTGTCGTGCACTCAGCCGGGGTTGACCCTGAGACAAAGGTTTGAAGCAACCCGTCTCCTAAATGATGTAGTATGTGTAGGTGGGGACATATTAGATCATTTATAATTAATCAGTCTAGTGTTGCTCTCAAATCATGTGGTGAAGAAACTCATATTTTTGTTGTTTGCAAGGGGGGGGGGGGTTTAGAGCGAGGAGAGGGGGTTTTAAGCTATGTCTATTCAGATGATTGAAAAGTTTAGACTAGATCCAAACTGTTTTGTCTATCAGCTTACACCAGCACAATGTTGTGTAAATGACTATGTATCCATATATGTATTTTGCGAATTGCATTGTGTATATTCTTCTATTATGTATGTGTATGTGCTCATTTTGTAACGATGTGTAAGCTTGCGCGTGTGATAAGCAAGTAGATGTGTGTGTGTATGTTTGGCGTGCACGTGTTTGTATGTTTTGCGTGCATGTGTGTGCACATGTGTGAGTGTAATGTGTGCGTGTGAGTGTGTGTGTATGTGTGTGTGTGTGTATGAGTGCGTGAGTGTGTGTGTATGTGTGTGTGTGTATGAGTGTGTGTGCGTGTGTGTGTGTGTGTGTCGCGTTCATGAATATTGTTCGTACATGCATTTATGTAAAGCACGTAGAGCTGTGTTTACACGGGAGTGGGCGCTATAGAAATGATCTTCAGTATTATTATTATTAGAATTCATTGCGACTGTCGTATTTCATGGATGTGTTTCAACACAAGTTAGAATGAAAACCACAATTTATGATATATGACCATTCTTATTTGACTTCTCAAAATTCGATTTTTGTAAAGCTTACTGCCTAAATAATTACATGTACTGTCTCTGCGTGGTTATGTATTTTAATTTATAGAAAATAATATTGGTGGATCTGAGTCCTTTGTCATTAGCTTTGTAGTTGTATGCTATGCTGAAATAATTTGTAAGGATTTTAATTATCATCATTATTTACTGATTTTAATTTTATTCTAAAACTGTTGTTAGTTGTTGTCTGTGAATAAAGATGTCCCTACTTTTTTGGGGTTGATTTCAGTGAAAGTTTCAAGTCAGACTACAAAGCATTGCAAAACCGTCTGAAGACTTTGCCTGACAGTGTCAATCATGATATCATGGTGAGCCACACACGAAAAAGCTCACAGTAGCACGTTTATATTATTTGTTTTTCTTAGTGCAAGAAATTGAGTAATGTCTGTCTGTCTTTCACCTTTCGCAATTGTGATGATCAGTTTCTGTTTAACACCCTGTCTGTTTAACCCTATGGAGGATAGATTACTTTTGCACTCTGTGGTTCCCGAAAGGTGAACTTGACCGAACAGTTAATTAAAACCATATTAGCTTTGTAAAATGTTAGTTAATGTTAGAAACACAAACGGCACATTATTGGATTTGAAGTTGTCTGTCCCTTATGTTATTCCTGGAAGCATCCGGGGACACATGGCTGCTGCACACATCTTAGACTGGACAATTGAATTGTTTGAAACCTGTTCTGTTTCTTGGGATCACTTGGTATTCCAACATTATACAATATAACACTGATAGGTTGAACACAGAAGACTTGGAAATCATGCATCCATTGAATTGTGCCTGCTGTCTCGTTTTTTCTTTCTTTATCTTTATAAGACATCCCTTAGACTACCGAGGCGGTGCTACTGACTGAAGTGTCTTTAGGAACTTTAGGCCATTCCCAAAGGGGGGACATTAACCATGTTCTTATGCCCAGTAGAATTGTTATTGTAAATGGGCTGACTCATCAATGTCATGCTCATAACTGTGCCTGAACTGCAACAGGGATCTGTTGCTTTTTCTTTCCTAATCCTTACTATCATCTGTTTCCTCTACTTCTTATGTATGTTTGTCACGCTCTTGTGGTCTGCGGTTTCCGGGGTGCCTTGATAGACGAAGGAGACTATGGTGTTGAAGCTAGAGAGGTGAGCAGAGGAAGTTTAATTCTCTGTAAGGACTTCTCAGTTGACATCCACCCCTTGGCGCTCATATAACCTTATGCAGTTGCAAGTGCCGTAAAACCTCTACTGAAACAAAACAAACCAAGGCCAGTCCTGACAAATTGGAGCTATGCATGTTATTCGGTATGTCCGTTTGTATATTGTTCCTGCTTGATACAGCTGTAATGTTGAAAGACTGATGAGGAAACAACCTTTTCACTGGCAGTGTAAATCAAGTTCCAAAAAATGTTGGATTTTTTTTTTACGGTCTGTCACCCCTGTTAAGACAACAGCCAGTCTTTTTTTCTTTTTTTTTTTTTCTGTTTTGAGAAGATGTTTAAAAAAAAGTATATTTGCTTTAGTCAACCGTACAACTTGTGCAAAGTGGTAATGACTCTATAATCTCTATATTGAGGATATAAAACAAGTCTCCTGCATTTTTACAAGTTACTGAAAACATGGGGGGAAAAAATTGCGTAAGCATTTCTGTGAGAATATAGTATATTAGAAACATTGGGCATAGATGATATATGTAATACACAAAATAAAACATTATATGTTTAGGATTTGGTCCATATTCTAGAAATCTTGCACATTGAGGCTATGGCTCTTGCTCTGGAAATATTGCATGTTGAGGACATTTTTACTTATTATAGAAGCATTGCTGCATCATGAGGATATGATGTTTGATCTATTGAGAATGGTCTTTGTGGTGTTGCAGGTGCCGTTTGGGAAGCTAGCCTTCATGCCGGGCAAGATTGTGCATACAAATGAGGTCATGGTTCTGCTGGGAGACAACTGGTTTGCTGAACGTTCGGCCAAGCAAGCTGCCGAGATCGCAGGACGGAGAATGAAGGGTATGCAGTTGCTTATATCAATATCTACTGGGAGGAAAGTGAAGTGCGTCCCGTAGGCTATGTCTATATTTCCAGGGTAGGGGGCAGTGTGAAGGGTTTACAGTAAATTATGTCTATTTTTTGTGGGGTGGATGCAGGAGGAGTAAGAAAGTGAAGGGTATACGGTAACTATATGTTATATCTACTGGGGAAAAGAATGAAGGGTATACACTCATGACATTCACCCTCTCTCTTATCTACACACTCACTCCCTCACTGCTTTATACAGGAGATGATTCCTCTATTAACAAACACAGGGACCATGTCTGTAAAAGTGTAGTGATACCATGTGTGCTGATTTTCCAGCTAAATCTGGATTTCTGAAATTGTCCAGTTTCTGCCTGACTTGAGACGGATCATTTCAAAAACATATTTTTGGCAATATGATCCAAGATGTATTAAATTTTGAGTCCCATAGCAAGCGTTTCCATGTAGTCAAGAAAGTTCTGGATTTTTATTTTTTTTACGTAGCTAGTTGGCACCTGTGAGTAAAACGTCTGTTACTTGTCTCATCTTTAGTTTTTCCATTTCAATCTCTCCCATAGAACTGGACAAAAAGGTCAAAGAATTGAATGACCAGATGAGACTGCTGGAACCACGCCTGGGCTTCACCTCAGACCTACAGACAGAACTGCAGGTTTGTGTTTGCAGACAGAACTATCATGTGTGTGCACTTGATGAATAGAAGGGTAAAAGTAGTCCCGCTGAAAGTATGTTAAAGTAGGCCACGTTGAAGTGTGTGTTCTGAACACAGAAGATGAAAGGTAGTCACACTGAGGCATATAGTGTGAACAGAAGCCTAAAGGTAATCACCCTGAGGCATGTATTCTGAACACAGAAGGATATTTTTTCTATGACATATACAGTATAATCCACTTATATTGACGTCCGATTTATCGACATTTTGACATATCGACATATTTTCCAATAACGAAATTTGTCTTTCAGTATCTTCACTAAACAATGTCTCTTGTATCAACTTTTTATTTGCCCACTCTGCTTTATCGACATGCTTCCTGGGTACCTGGCGAAGCCCACGACATATAGCCTCGCTAACGGTCAACGCATTAGTTCTTCTTTAAGTCCGCATACCCGCCAAGTAGCCTATATCGACATACCAGGCTTTAGTAGGTCATGTAGGGCCTACACAGAGTAGTCTCCAACACAGCATAGTGCCTCACAGACATGAGCGTCTCGCGCGCTGGGCATCACATCCCTACCCCCACTCCCGATCGCTCACTCCCCTTCCCCATCCCATTCTCAGTCTGTCGCTGGCAGGTGCCACGGTCAGTGAGTCAGTGCCTCACCTTTCCATTTTCCCCAGCAAGCAGCCTTAAACAGGACTTACAAGGATGCTACAACAAAGTTTGCGCTGGTGTGTAGAGTGCGCCTTGCGCTGCTCGGTCTTTGGAACCGTAACTCCAACCCTTCTGCCTCTTGTTAGTTTCAAGAATCAAGGGAAGCTTTACTTTACTTTTATCCGCCGCTTATACCCTTTTGTGTGTAGCGGGAAGAAAGAGACGTCTCTCTGTCGCCAGCCGGAGAGCTTGGGTCAGGGGGATGCTGTGAGTGGTTAATGTTTCCCTGACTCCATCTGTCCAGGTCTTTCTCGGTCGCCTTCTAGCCTTGTTGCCATCAAATTTTTGGATGTAGGCACATTGTGCTGGATGGTGTGTTGGTAATCGTAGGAGATGTCCAAACCATTTGATTCTTTGGTGTTGGATGTGATGCATGACATCATTTGTGCCCACCATTTCTCGGATTACTGAGTTTCTAATTTTGTCTTGCCTGGTATTGTTTACTGCTTTTCTAAGGCATCGCATTTCACATGTTGTAATTCTTTGCCCTAATGTTTTATTCGTAGTCCATGTTTGGCATTGATAAGTGAGTGTTGGGATGAATATGGTGTTGATCATTTTGAGTTTTGTTGTCATGGGGATGTTAGGATGTTTCAGTAGTGGAAAAACTAGCTGGTAACTAACATTATTGGCCTTTTGTACTCGTGTTTCAATTTCTCTGTTCAGTCGCCCATCCTCTGTGAATATACTTCCGAGGTACTTAGATTCTTGGACCTGTCTGAGAATGTTGTTGTTGATGTGTATCCTGAGTGGTTCTGGCTTTCTGCTTACTTCAATTGTCTCTGTTTCGTTGATGTTGATCTTCATGTCGTAGTTGTTACATTCTTCATTTAATCTGGTGGTGTGGTGTGGTGTTGGAGACTTCTTTCATCTTTGTGTGCCAGGCTTTGGTCATCAGTGAAGAGTAATTCTTTTAGGGCGTCTGGTTCTGTGTTTGCCTCTTTTGTAATTCTATCCATATATATGATAAATAGTAGTGGTAATAGGACGCAATCTTGTCTTACTCCGGATGTTATTTCTAACCATTCTGTGAGTCCCTCTGACGTTCTTACTGTACTTATGCTGTTCTCGTAAATGGCACTGATGTTATCAAGAAGTTGGCCTCTTACTAGATAGCGTAAACGCGGCCTTCCGATTGTGTGGTATCGGTGAAATCGGAGTAATTCCGATCGCTGTTTCTTTGCTCTTTCGCTATTAAACACCAAATACCGTACACCTTGTAAAAGTTCAGCTTTTCCTCGTTACAATGGTGTAAGTTGTTTATATGTCCGATTATTTGGAGCTGGAGAATCGCAGACGAAAGCGAAGCCCCTCGCGGTCGGAATGCCTGGTCGGCCTGTTCAAAAATTGACACGCGTGCATTCAAATGCTTCGTGGAACGAGGGATGATTTAATACCGTCTTTTCATAGGCGGAGAACTGTAGAGCTTTAAGCGGGCCTTCCCGTGGTACATATTTGGCCTTTGGCGTTTAAATAGAAAGCTTTTAAAAATGCTGTCAAAATGTTTAAAGATCACTTTTTACACAAAATATGTAAAATACCGGCTTAAAAAAGGTATCAATCAAAAGATCAGTTCATTTCCTATTACAATAAAGTAATCAGCTTGGAATTATTTTTCATCAATCCTTCCGCGAGACTCGGAAAGCATGTAACCCCGCACATGGGGTACACTACAGTATAGAGCCGACTCGCTCACCACGGGGGCTGGTGCGGCGCCGGCCGGGTCAACGCTCTGTGTTTTTGTCAAAATAACGACAGATCATCATGTTGGAGGTGATAAAATACTGATTTGTAAAGATCTCACAGTCTTGAAAAAAATTAGGTTCCATATATTTGTTATAGTGATTGTACTCCGTTAATGTGGAGATGTTTAGTGCACTTGGTACTCTTTTATTGTCTGTCAAACATGGGGTTGCAGCCAGTGACTCACTTTAACAAATTTGATGAAATTTTAAACAACTACCATTTTCTTAAAATTGACTGAGAGGTTAAAGAATGGTACCAAAATGCTCAGTGGATATAGGCCTTTCAAATGGAACAGATAAAAATGGCATACAGCTACTTTGAAAATTCAGTTTCTGGTACCTACTTTTACAGTGTAGTTTTTGAGTTCTTCCGACAACTTGTTTCTGTTCATTCTGTCGAACGCTTTCTCCTGGTCGATAAATACTATATTTAGTTCCTTGTTGTGCTCTATTACCCTTTCGCACATTTGTCATAGGGCAAATATGCGTCGGTGCATCCTCTTCCCTTTCTAAATCCCATTTGGCCCTCACTCAGAAATGGTTGAACTTTGTGTCTTGTTCGCCATTCCAATATCTTGCCCACATGGCTTAGCAGTGAAATGCCTCTATACATTCCACAGTCTCTCTTTAAACTGCCTTTTTTCTTCCAGATTGGTACCTTGAAGCAACTGGCTTTAAAAAGTAGTGTTGTCTTTTACCACTGACCTCCGCTTATTTTTTCCTGTTTGACTTTGTATTTTGATATATCGACATCAAATCCACTTCCCAAAACATGTCGATTTAAGTGGATTATACTGTATTAAAATGTACTATATTTTTTATAGCTTAAACATGTATTATCATATACTATCTTTTCTATCTCATGTATGCTTATTTATGTAGTTTTTGAGTTCTTCCGACAACTTGTTTCTGTTCATTCTGTCGAACGCATTTATTTATCATGTATGCGTTATTTTACTATCTCACACTTCCATTTATCGATCCATCCATCCCCGTACAGGGCAAGGAGGATGTGAGGGAGATCCGGGAGGAGTTTGATGAGGAGCAGGAACGTCTTTGGAACGGTGAGGAAACTGCTGGTGTTGTGTGGACGTGTGGCTTGCGGGCTCTGCAGTTTTGTTTGTTTGTTTGTTCAGTAGTTTTTCTTTTTAATTGTTTTTTTTTTTTGTAGTCCCTGTAAATATGCCAATGCGTGTGATTGGTGGGTGCTCTGGTGTGGGTTGCTCCGTCTTTGCTATCAAACATCTATCGTTTTTATCTCTCCTCCTTTTTTGTGTTAGTTACTCTCTTGTAACACCTGTAATCTTTGGCACTTATATGACAGTGTCGTCGGTAGCCTAGTGGTTAGCCTACCAGATTTGTAATCATGAGATTGCGGGTTCCGGGGTTTGAGCCTCAGCTTGGTCCGAGGTTGTGTCCTTGGGAAAGGCACTTTACATGAGTTCCCTCTTGGCTCGGTCCTTTCGGAGATGGACATTAAACTCAGAGGTTCGCCTTTTAAATAACCCAACAGTGTTGATAGGAGCGTTAAACCTATACCGTTTCAGAATACTTATATGACCTTATTGTGTTGCAAGTGCAGTAAAACACTTACTATAAAACTAAACTAATCCTTCTTTTCTTTGTATGTTACTCTCTAGTAACACCTATAATCTTCTTTGGCCCGGACAGGCAGGATTGAAGCAGCCCGCTTCTGTAATGAACTCAGTTTCCTCAATGAGGATGTACAACATTGAGATGTTTTATTTCTACAGATCGGCATCGGGAGAGTGTGAAGAGACAGAAAGAGCAGGAACGTTTAAAGGCGGCAGCTACCGGAACTACACCAATGGCTCAGAAGGTTGAGGGTTCGAGTCTGTCAGACGAGCAACTGTGGGCTCGGCTTGACCAGTTGGAGAGACAGGAGGCTGAGCGCGCAGAGATGGACAGGTCAGTTTGTGGCTGTTGGGTTTTTGTAAGCGATTTGGGGGGTGGGAGCATTTGGTGGAGCAAGATGGGTGTGTGATATGAGGTTTGAGAGGGGAAGAGAGAGCAACTGTGATTTGGAGAGATATGATGAGTTGTGGAACATTCCTATCAAACCATGTTGATCCTCTAATCAAAATTTATACCTGATTCTTATTTTGTCACTGTCATTCTACAAGGGCCTATCTCATTTTTTGAAGTTTTCAGAAAATCAAAGAAAAAGAAAAGAGTGTCAGAATCAGATCCATGACTCGTTACTTAAAAAAATTTTTAACTAGGGAGGACATAACAAAACAGAACAAAACTATATTGAAAGATACCCTTTATTGTTTGTTATTCAGATAACATCTTTGTCTGGAAACCTCCAGATCTTGACTTGGGTGGTTGTGGAGTACTGCTGATGATTTTGGTGTTTTTCTCTCTCCATACCCAGTGATGAATGGAAGGAGGAAGAGGAAGAAGACAACAGTAGCAGAAAGAAGAAGAAGAACGATGAGAATATGAGGAGAGTGAGTTTTGCTGACGAAAACCACCCGAAGACACTTGGGCTTCAAATGTCGCAGAATGACGATGATGAGGAAGAGGAGGATGACGATTTATCTGAGGGCACAGATAGTGATGATGATGATGATGATGAAGAGGGAAGTGATGCTGATGGAGAGGAGGAGGATTCTGACTGTAAAACAAAACGGAGGACAATTTTTTTCTCCCACACAAAAACTCCAGCTGTGTCGGTAAGTTCTGTAAATTTCTGTTCACGTTTTTTGATGGATGGTTTTGTGGGTTGGGGCTGGGGGGGAGGGAAGGTAATCAATATCAGGCTAGTAAACTTTTGGACCTTTTTCTTATCGCTTGTATTATAAGGGAGTATAGTATATCATCACGATTGTGATAAGATTAGATAACTACCAAATTTTCGATTTTGCTTTTTACGTGAAATTTATTCTACAAAGCGTGTTTCATATATATGCTGGTTAAAAATTTATATTCATATGAACAATCATGAGTGGAATTTTTTTAACAGTATGAAAATCAGATTACCCTAAAGCATTCATAAAAAAAATTTTTCTCCTGACAAATTTATCCAATGTCCCTTATCCAATCTTATCACGACGGTGACTACATAGGATACTTGGTCATCAGGTTTTGCACATTTTTTTAAAGAGATATGAAGTGTTTACTTAGGATAGGTATGAGCACGCCATGTGGAAGATCTATCAAAGGAAATGACGGTGTGGGGGAAAAAAATAGGAAAAGTTTTGATCCATCCTGTTTCTGCCTGACACCTATCAATGCCTCTGTTGTTGTCATATCCTTTTTCCTGACCAAATATAGCCATGATTGTTTCAGTTCACAGTATACTCCCTACTTTATCCATTGTATGTTTCGTCTCTCTGTTTTGTTTTTGTACTATATTTCTTAACAAAATGAAGCCATGATTGCATCAACTCATCATGTATGTACACTACAACTTAGTCCGTGATGACTTTCGTCTGTCTGCCTCACCAGGTGGTGAGGGCACCACTGGTAGGTTCGACTTCTTTTCTTTCTCTTTCTTGTTTCTGCGTATCTGTCTTGCTTCTTCCCAGCGTTATATGACCATTTTTGTGTCAATGTCTTTCTCTTTACTCAAACTGAAGCAGTGGGTGGTTGGCGGGTGCTCTGGTGTCGTTTGCTTCTTCTTTCCTATCAAAAAATTTTCCGTCTTTATCTCCCCTTCTCCTTTTTTATGTTTGTTACTCTCTTGTAACACCTCTAATCTTCTGGCGCTCATATGACCTTATGCAGTTGCGAGTGCCGTAAAACATCTACTAAAACTTAAAACTGAAACATGCATGAAATAACCATTTTGTGAATGTTATTCTCTTGACTCAAACAAAACCACCAGCAGTCAGGCAGGGGCGAGGCTGTTGAAATCAACAGCCCCTCAGACATCTATAAGCTGTTCCAGCCTCCGTCCATTCTCAAGAAATCTCCGGCCCGGGAGAGATGGAATGAGAGCTCTGGAAGTGCATCTGTGAGTGTGCGTGGTGGGTCTATACCGGAAGACTCGACAATGACCAGTCACACTGTTGACACCGCGACCCACATCCCAAGCATAGCCTCCAGTGCACAGAAGGTAGTGTATGTACAATGACCTTTACAATTGAACCATAATGGCGTCAGTAGCCTAGTAGTTAGGCTACCAGACTCGCAGTTGTGAGGTTGCTGGTTCGGGGGTTCGAGCTCGTCCAACGTTGTGTCCTTGGGAAAGGCACTTTACACGAAATTCTCTCTTGGCTCTATCCTTTCGGAATTGGACGTTAAACTTGGGGGTCACACCTCTTAAAAAACCTAATGGTGATGATAGAGGCGTAGAACCAATACCATTTGTCACAGTTGAACCTTAGAAAATGTTTTTACACACCCATCAACACAATTCAGATCTTTTAGAGGGTTGGGTTCTGACCTTGCCTGTCAGGGCCAACCAGGGATGAGAATGATACAACATACTAGTGAAAAGACCAAAATACTCTGTAAAAATTTGATTCCCACCCGGGAATTTACCATGGGTCTCTTGTGTGTAACTACAAAGTGCCTAACCGCTACACCACAGGTGCCTGTATGTTCAATCTTGTCCATAATGGTCATTCTAGATCACAGGAAAAAAAAGACTTATGGATAGATTTCGACTGTGGACAGAGTCTGACTTATCGTCTTTTACTAGACTTGAGAAAGTCAAAAGATTAAAATCTGAAATCTTAATTTTATCTTTCCATTTCATTTCTATCAAAATTTGTTATCAATCATAAGAGCTTTGCATTGATTGAAAGTACACACTCAGTCTGAGGACCAGTCAGCGAAAACCTTTTGTAGCAACTGACCACTATGAGCAGTTTTTGAAGCTGATTGTCTCAAAAATGACTGGCCATGGTTGTAATTGACAGGGGTTGCTATGGACAGGTTTAAAGTGTAAGAAAAATGCAAGGTTGTCTCAGAACAGTGGCCGACAGTACACATGACCACTTTGGAAGGTTCGACTGTATTGATGGACTAGACAGTTTCATTCAAGGAAAAGAAATCAAATGATGTAGTGCTGAAGAAAGCCCGAATGGGCCGCTCACTTATTAAAACACTTAGGAAGAGACGAGAGAGATAATAAGGCTTGTGTAAGGTACATTGAGATGCTTGTTTAAGGTACATTGAGATGCTTTTCTCATCCTGAGTCTGAGTAAAAAGAAGCACATGGAAATAATATCAACCATCTAGTCCAGGGAAATGGCGAAGATAGTCAGATAGAGACATCAGAGGGAATGAGAAGAAATTGGATGATAGAGAGGCAGAATAGGAGTAGGTAGGATCAACCATTGATGCTCACTAACCGCCCATTCTAATGTTCTCTTCCACAGGCGTTCAGCGGTCAAATCGTGGAGCGGCAGACACAAGACACACAGCATCATACAGGACAGACACACGGTGCAGAGCCACAACGACGTGTCTCCAAATTCAGGGCTAAACGGATGGGTCAGTCTGACCCGTCGTGACCTCTTGAGGGGTCACTGGACCCCTCACAGGTTGCGGTGAGAGGTCACTGAACCCCTCACAGGTAGAGGTCATGACTTTGGAGAGGTCACCGAAATCTTCACTGGTGGAGGTCACCGAAACCTTCAGATGTGTTCAAGTTGCTGTGACTGTCGCATGTGGAGTTCGTGGCGACCATCCATCAATTTATGTTATCCTGTCTTTCAACTTTGTGCTTCGCATCTGCATTTTTAAGATAAGACAACACTTTATTATCCCTGGATGGGAAATTTTCTGTGGCTGTACAGGAATGGTAAAAACTCATGATGAATGGAGGAAATTTTGTCCAAACTGCGTTTAGTTTTGACTCTTTTGGAAACTTGAGACACTCTTCATTTTCTTCGGGCAGTTAGAGGACATCACGGTTGGTCCTACTTCTTTAGTCTCCCTCTTTTGTTTATGTCTGTGTGTGTGATTCAATGGTGCTACAAGTAGGTACTACTTTTTTACTCTCCTACTGTTGTTTCTGCCAGTCTGTCTTGGCTTTTTCTCAGTACATAATGAATAGTATTATTATGTTGATGCAGGATTCATTTTTGACCCCGCGCCAGTTGGGCATTGGGTCAGAAAATGACTCATTGATTTCACATTCACTGGGTCAATGGGCGCATTGTTCACACAAGCGCCCCACATGTCTTCTTTAGTCTATTGTTGTAAAATTTCAGATCTCTGCGTGTAGTACATTTTACGTACCAACTTAAAATTACCACCCACCCATTGATATAACACTGGAAACTAGATCACAGATTCGAAACGCGAGTTGCCAGCATTCGAGACGCGCGTGATCGCTAGGTGGCATGTGTCTAACCAGAGACTTTAAATTATAATTAGATACTCTCTGGTCTAACTAAGTAGGCCACCGATGACTTCATTGCGGGATTTCCCGATCCCGCTTTACTGAGAATGGGTGATCGGTCGCAGTAAAAACAATGTCACGCAATTCAACAAATTTCACGCAAATATTAGTCTTTAAGATCCTAAGTAATAAACACATTGAAAAAGAGTTCTGCACTAAAAATCACAAGAAGATGCCAAGTTTCATTTATTTACTCCTATTCATTACTGACTTATGAACAGTTTTTCCTCGAAATACATCAAGACATGTCCCTCTTTTTGGCGATATTGTCTTCTATGAAAGTCCCCCAAAATTTTGCAAACAGAAATGCCAATAACTTTGTTATTGATCAATGGATTTTTAAAATTTAAAAACCATAGTTCTTAGAATTTACTCTATTTTCATTTAAGCCTGTTTTTAAGCAATTTGGATAAAAAAATTATTTTTCATAGTCATTGCTAGTCAAAGGGATGGGAATTTCAAGCATTACAAGCAGACATTGTTGATAAGCCATTAATCCACTATTTCTCCATAAAACTCTCACATGACATGTACTTTAATACAAAAACAACCGAGAACAACTCTTCATGCATGTTGCGTAAAAACTTGACCCATCACTCACAAGATTGACCCATTGATTTTGGCCTGAGAGGGTCAATTGACCCATAGTCATTCATTGCAAAAATGAACCCTGTGATGTGCTTCTCCTTACTCATGCAGTCCCCCCCCCCCCCACTCTTTCTCCCTTATCCCTTCCCGACCCCCATCCTAATCACCCCCCCCCCCCCCCCCCTTTGCATATCTCGACACTAGTTTCTGCCCAAAACAAAACTGAGGTCTCCAAAGTTTCTAGACGGGTAGAATGGACTGTTCCAATTTTTACCAAAATGTTCTTCTCTTGGGTTGGCTCATAAGACCCCAGCCCAGAGGGAGATAAATGACCACAGGCTGGTCAAGAGATGACCTTTACCTAGCCTACCTGTTTGTGTGTGTATTGACCATGAATGCTGAAAGTTGTGGGTTAATAAAGCCAAAAGTTTATGCAAACTGTTCAGTTTTTCTCATTGTTTTCCACCATGTCCACTTGTCTTCCAAATACGTGTACATCCTACTCTGTTGTATTCTCTACTTACCTCTGGTATTGTTTATTCTCTGCTGACGTGTATTCTATTTCTTTCCCTGTTGTCTACTTGTATTCTGTTGTGTTCTCTACTGTCTACTTGTGTTCTGCTGTGTACAGTATAACACGGATAGCTCAAATTCGTTGGGACCTGCCTCGGTAGTTCAAGGGATCCGTAGCTTGAGGGATATCTTTCAAAACAAAGATAAAGAAGAAAGGAAAAAAAACGGGTCCGCAAGCACTGTTCGACGGATGCATGATTTCAAGTCTCCCGTGTTCGACCTATCCGTGGTATACTGTATTTTAGTCTATATATCTGAATTTATATTCTTTTGTTTCCTCCAGTTTAACACAGCACTCTGTCTACTTGTATTCTGTTGTACTTTCTATAGCTTGTTCAATTTCATCTGTCTGCGGTTAAAACAGGACAAGAACAAATCGCTCTGTTTCAGGAGCAAGGGGGCAACTTCAAATTGTAAATGTTCCATGCCCTTGACGACACGCGCATACTTTTTCACACACACACACACATGCGCACGTAGTTTTAACACACACACACGCACAATATGTGTACTGTCTCTCTCTCTCACACACACCCCAGGAACAGCAAAAAGTTCTCATTGAACACAGAATAAGAAGATACTTTGGAACTTTTATTCAAAAAGAATAGAAAGCAATTTACAATTTATTATTTTTATGAATATAAGTATATATATATATATGATAAAATTAAAAGCAATGCTAAAAAGCTGAAATTGTGCTTTGGTACAGGCAGTACCAACAACTGATCAACAAAATACAGAACTAACAACTCTGAAAAGAAAGCTAAAAATAGACCTGACGCCAAAGTTCAGAACTTGATTACAGTACAGAGAATAAGAAACAGACAGAGAGCTAAGCACATACATGTCCCGTAAGGACGTGTCTCGAACCTGCAACATCTGACAACACGCTCTCATACCAACCAAATGAACAAACCGACAAAAAGATGCACAAAAATATTTGTGAAAACTTGTACAAAACAGTTGAAACAATGAGACATGAAAAACACTTGGTTTTTCTTATGACGGTATTTTCTCCTTGCTCACAATCTTGACTGGAGGCAATAATTCAGCCCTTTGTTGTGGGTGAATCATTTGATAAGGGGGAGGAAAGCCAACCACAAACAGGTTCAGACAACACACTTCTATTTTTACCACAGCTTCTGAATATCTCTTAATTTATCAATGTGGTTTTAAGTGATCCAGTGATCTTGACATCTGAGTCTCAAAAAAATAATTTTTTGTAAAAGCAGGTGCAATTTTTATGCCTTCATATAAAAACTTAGTGTACATTATATCTGTAAACACAAAAGAACTGCAAACATCAAGGTTATTAAAAAGGATATAATTTTCAAAGAGATCTCATAATAAATATTTAAAAAATGCCCATGAAATGGAAGAGACAGGCATACATGGATTATGATAGATTAAGGCGTCCAGCATACAGAAAACGCCTTGTAGTTTGCAACCATCTCCCCCCTTTCCAAAAAAAAAAATTCATGGAAGAGACATCAATATTGCAACAAAAGAATTTTTAATTCAGGAGCAAGAAATCGGATCAAAATTACACCAGATGAGACTGGTTTTGGTATAGCGTACCAAATGTCCTCTCAAACTCCTGATTGTAAGATCACCAAACAAATGAACAAGATGACGTTTGTCAAAACTTGTCCAAAATGGTTGAAACCGTGAGACAGTCATGATAAATCGGAGCAGGCCACTATAAAAATACATAGACTACAACTGCAATACTGCACGAAGATACTCATGCCACATAACTGCTAAAAATCTTAGTGTGGAAAATTCAAAACCTCTCATTGGATAAGGATAGAAATAGAGTGTTTGGGGCACTCTGAAACAAAATGTGAAATGGTATAGGATTAACGCCCCCAGTCAGTTATACGGCGATACTCTGTGTTTAAAGTCCATCTCCAAAAGGACCGAGCCAAAAAGGAAATTTATGTAAAGTGCCTTTCCCAAATACACAATATTTTACCGACCTGAGGCTTGAACCCCCCATTTCACGATTACGGACTTGGTAGCCTAACCACTGGGCCACCCACGCCAAGAAAACATGAAAAATTTAAAAACTGAGACCGAAAAAAAAAAAAGAAAAAAAAATACTGGAACAAAACAGGTCTCCAGGTAGACAAACGCAAACCCCAATCCATGATCAAGTTTCCCTTATTAAAAAATCTAAAAATAGATACAAAAACTAAAGTACGGGCACCAACCAAAACAGAATTTCCCACCTACATCTGGAATGTTCCCACAATTGTCCATACACAGACAAACAGACGTTCAATCAGATTGCTTTGACCTTAGACCAGGAGTGACCAGCACATCAGTACACCCCCCCCCCCCCCCTCCGGACAGTCACAGGACTTGACACGACACAAACACAAAAAGAAAAAGTCCCAATTTATTCCAGTAATCAACTTGAAAAACTCTGAAAACCGAATTTGACTAACTAATTAGTAAAGAGATTCATTACAAGTCTGAATATACATCGACACACTATCTCCCCTCCATCTCATAAATTAAAAATACAATACATGTACATAGCTACACTAAGGACCAACCGAGAGTGGCCTGGGGGAGGAGATGGACCATTGCCATTTTATTTTTTCAACACTGATCAGCTAGAAACTACTCACACAATGTAACATCGACATGAGATTGCTTCTCACAGGCCACAGAACACAAGTAGTACCGGTACATTACAGTACATGTATAGTGGAACATGTATAAACAGAGTACTACATGCATAAACCATTTATTACATGTATAAATCGAGCTCTACAAGTATACACTGTGTATCACATGCATAAACTGTTTATTACATGTAAAAACTGTGTACATGTGCCACATGCGCAAACTGTTTACGACATGTATAAACTGTGTATTATTTATATCAATAAACTGTTTATTGCAAGTATAAACTGTGTATTACACAGATAAACAAAGTATTACACAAACCAAGGTGAACAACGATGATCACACTTCTGCATAAAAATTAAAAAATGAGCAAAAACCAGATTCAGGAAATAAAATAACCAAAACATAATATTCCCACATAAAAATTGACATTTGGTGACTGAATGCACAGCCACAAGCCACCCAAAGTCCTCATACATCTTCTGCACCATAAAACAGCAACACACCGTATAATAATATACAGAGAAAATTACATTGAGAGTTTGAAAAAGCATAAATAAGAGATGACTAGACAGAGGTTCAGCAGATTTTCTTTCATCACAAACGGTAAAGTGCTATCTCTCCCACCTGAAAGCTACTGACAAGAGAGAGAGGATCACCATGTTGCAGGTTTCAGACACATGGGGGTAGGGTACGGGAGTGGGAGGAAGACCTTAAAAACAACATGGCATCCTGCACACCCATGCAAAGATAATTGACTATTTCATACATGCAGGAAAAGACAGTTCACTACACCATACACCCAGGCAAAGATTTACGAATGCGCATTCTCTTTAAAAAATTACCTTAAAAACTGACGCACTAAATTGTAGCTGTTGTCACCTGACGTTTTGTTTGATTTCTAAAATAGGAATTTTTTTCAGCACAATTTACGCTCCTCCTTTCTGTTTCCAAAAAAAAAAGCTGTTCCTCGATTTAAAATAGTATCAAACTTCCAAAGTGCTGTGTCATAGTGACAAATATTTCAATTCCTCCATAAATGAGCACAACTTGAAACTACTTCTTATTTACATTCTACTTTCTGAAATGTAAAGATTTATGGCCTTTACTTGCTTGGTTTGCCTGTTCTCAAACCAGTTCCAACATATTATGGTGAAATCATAGAATTTCCCCAAACACCACAGGCTGTTCATTAGTGGTGCTTGGAGGGTTAAGGAAATTTTTTTTTAAAGAGTAGTTTCTCATCTCAGATCACGCATTTGATGATGACGGGCGTCTTACATAGAGGAAAGCGCCATGTTGTAGTGCATTATCTTTGACAAAGGGCAGGACACAGACACGGCAAACATAACAGGCCCTAGCCTAAGACAAGACAGGGCTGGTCTCAAGCTATGAAGCAGTTTACTTGCTCATACAGAAACACGAGCTGGAACGATGGGCACACAATACAGGACACACGACACGGGAGAAATGACCGACACACGACACGGGAGACGTCATAGCCTGTGTGGGGGAGCGGGTGTCGCCCCAGGCTCAGCCTCCAGCCAGTCACAGCCCTGCATTTCTCGTACACAGAAAAAAAAAAAAAAAAAAAAGAATATCGCAAAAAAGAAAAAAAAAACTCAACAAAATACATATATAATATGTATATAAATCCATGTACAGCATATATGGCAAAGCTACTACCAGCTATAAAAAAAAAAATTATTATGTTGACATAGTAAGGGAGAACACAGGCATAAAAAAACTACACAAACACACATGTATCCCAGATACACACACAGGATGCTGAAAGCTCAAATAAAACCGATATAATGGCACAGTCAGTAATGCACACTGCGTCCTGTGCTCAGGAATTGCACTCAGCTGGTCACATGACCCAAGAACCTACAACTGTCTAATCACACGACCCTAGAACCTATGGCTTAGGCTATCTAATCACATGACATAAGAATCTACAACTACATAATTACATGACCCAAAAATCTACAACTATCTTATCACATGACCCAAGAACTTACAACTATCTAATCACATGACATAAGAATCTACAACAATCTAATCACACGACCCCAGAACCTGAGACTTTTTCATCATATGACACCAAAACCCAGGACTGTCTAATTACTGGCACAAGAACCAAGAACTTACAACTATTTAATCACTCAATAACTAAGAACCATCAAATCACAAGTACATGATTTATTTCACCGATTCACAGAATGACACAAGCCTGAACTCACAAGGCAAGTCTTTCAGGAAATTACCCAATAATTGGAATTTCCAATATTCAAGACTTTTCAAAGAAGTTCAGTTTCAGTTTGGTAAAAATCTTACAGCACTCTTATTTTGTTTTTGGTAGTAAAAATAAATGACAGCTCTAGCGTGATACATTACCAGTCTATCGGCTCTAGAGTTAAATTTGTACTCTGTGACGTGTCTGGGGCCAAAATGGCCATCTTATGCTTATAAAGTTCACGGTCTTCACATCTCATTACAAAAAGCTTAGGAGGAAAGCTGCCTGGTTTTATATGTTCAAGTCATTTCACTCTGCCTTTCTCTCTCTTTCTCCCTCCCTTACTTTCGCTCACACACACACACACACACACACACATAAACATGGTGAACCACTACATGTTGGAAAAATACATAGTTTGAATAAATAAACACATCCAACACAGTCAGAAAAAACAATCAAACATTACATATAGTCGTTTTAATTTTAGTAAAAGTTTTACGGTTCTTGCAATACAATTAGGCCATGTAAGTGCCAAAGATTAGTGGTGTTACTAGAAAGAAAACAAGGAAGAGAGATAAGGACGATAGATGATGGGAAAGAAGGAGCAAACCACACCAGAGTACCCACCGCTCACCCACAAAGCTGCCTCAGACAACAACAAAAATGTGCCCGGTTACACAGAGGGACTACAGTTGAACCAAGGGCAAAAGCTCATCCAAAACTTCCTTCATGAAGATAAAGAAAGAGGAAAAGAAATAGTAGAATTCCTTTCAGCAAGTTGTAGTCTCTCTCTCTCTCTCTCTCTCTCTCTCTCTCTCCCTCCCTCTCCCTCTCCCTCTCTCCCTCTCCCTATATGTGTGTGTGTGCGTGTTTGTCTGTCTCTCTTCTCTTTTGTCTCTCTCTCTCCTCCATCTCTCACATAACCTGAAGCCAGTAACTGAGTAACTCTATTCAAATGTCAAGGTCAGTGTGTCAGTCAGTGTGTCCGTCAGTGTGCTGAGGATGCATAGAGAAGGAACAGGGCAAAGCTTTGAGGCACTAGGAGGTCACAACCAACACACTGACATGACACACCAACATGACACACTCTCATGACACACCGATATGACATCTGACAGGACACACCAACAGAACACGCCAATATGACACACTGTCCAACACACTTCTCCTTAACACACTCAGTACCTTGACCTAAAAATAGAAATACTTTACGGACATGGTGCATTTATCTCATCGCATCTTTTTGAGTCTCAACTCATTTCATCTTAAAGTGATATATATGTCTGTTACACAAAAATACAAACAAGAACAAAACAATAGATATACATGAAGAACACATGCAGCTTTTAAGAAAAAACAATAGTCCAAGTAAACAAGCAGATTATTCGAGACATGGAAAACACTTGGATAAATACGTAGCATGTACCAAAGTTAAAGCATGTGGCAATACCTCTCACAAAATCATTGGTGGCAAAAATAGGAGGTATGTGCAGGTGACCAGTTAAGTACTCGCACATAGAGCAGACAATGAGCTTGGCAGTGACTCAAGTGTCGTAACTCGCAATTTTGCCGAAAATCAATTTTGGATACATATTCCCAAGACACTGGGAATGGGCGCATGCCCTGTATAGTATAAATCTCAAAGTCATGCCATTATTTTGTGAAAAATACACTAGCATTAAATTGTGAATTCCAGATATTGTTAATGGACATCTTGGTGAAAAATTAGTTTTGTTCCTCTTGTAAAATTAGGAAAACCTGAGTTAGGACAGTTGCGCTGCTATCTCATGAGTCACCACAAGGGAAATTTCCCTGACACATCTTGGCTCTCTTTCCTCCACACATACCTCATCCATGATGTGCATGTCTCTGTGCGTGTGTGTGTGTGTGTGAGTATATGCAACATCAACTATATTCAAGTTCATCCGTTTAAAAGTTTGTGAATCTGCTTACAGGGTGAAGATTATTGGGAGATTCCACAAGGATTTGACAGCAAGTTGCCATGGCAACACAAAAGTGGGAGGTAGGAATTGTTTGGAGATTCCACAAGGATATTTGATACCACGTTGCCATGGCAACATAAACGTGGTCTGTATTGCTGAGGCTTGGAGATTCCACATGGATATTTGAAACCACGTTGCCATGGCAACATAAAATTGGTAGGTAGGAATTGTTTGGAGATTCTGCAAGGATATTTAGAATCACAAAAGTGGCAGACATTTCAGTGAAAACCGAACACAGCTCAATTTACACATTCATAAACACACACATACATAAACACACACATAATTAGCTACATAGTGCAAACACACACACACACACACACAAACACACTCCATCATCTATACAGCACATCTCGCCTCTCAGCACCCAGTATCTAGCACCACTCCACCCATCGCACCACAAACTACTACAGACAAAGCAAACCGTGTGTTTTCAATTTTCTTTGAGCACCATCCCAACACACGCCCTTACCAGCCAACTCACCCACTTTCACAAATACATACATCACAAGCATATCGACTTTTAATTGTGAGACTCTGCCATAGGCCATCTTGAAAAGTGACGTATGACAGACTCTTACATTGAACAGTCGGTAGGAAAAGAACAAATATTAACTCATCATAACAACCACATACATCACAAGCATATATATATGAAAAGAGCAATAACATTATGTATTCATCATAACTCTCATAATAACTTTCATCATGAAGTTGATATTGCTTTCAACTGTTCAAAACATGCACAGATAAAAAGAGATTTTCTCATCACCCCCCCCCCCCCCCTCTTTTCACCAAACCACCCTTCCCCGCTTCACCAACCCCCCACCCACCCCTTGGCAGCATACTCATATTGCTCGCAATGACACGCCATCTGGCGGTGGAGAATTATGGCCGGGGAACACATGAGAGAAATCTTTCACTTGTCATTGCTGCTTTTGCTGGTGTTTGTAAACCCCAAACTAAAGCAAATATATGAATATAGTACAATCAAACGTGCTCTCTAACAGCCACCTGTTCAAGACAATCACCTGTACAAATGACCACTTCCAGCTTCTTTCTTTGAGTTTTTTTCTATGTTATAATGACACTGGCCAAGAGGACCACCTATCTAGAACAACCACTTTCTCCTTGACAATAAGTTACCATTTCAGACAATTTTGTGCGAGCAAGTGTGAGCACGCGAGCATGTGTGTGTGTGTTACAGTGCATGAATGTGTGTGTGTGTGTGTGTGTGTGTGTGTGATCCGGAAACGTCTCGTCCATGAACCAACAACCACCACAAAGTGTCCCCCGATGTGATTGAGCAAGTGCCAGCCAGTCCGGCCTATACAGAACAGCTTGACCACCGGTCACCTCCCACTCTCCTTTCTTCACAACCCCTCACTGGATTTTCTCCTCTGGTGGAACGTGGCTAACTCCGAGCTTCCCTGAGAGAGAGACAAACAAAACAATTCGAGGTTAGTTTTAGATTTAGTAAGAGTTTTGTGACACGTGTAACACAAATAGGTCATATAAACACTAAAGATTGTTTGCTATAGTAAAAGTTTTACGGCACTTGCACAAATAAATAATTTAAGTGCGGAAGATTAGAGGCGCTACTACAAAGTAACATACAAAGAAAAAAAGGAAAAAAAATAAGGACGATAGATAATTGACAGGAAAGAAGAGGCAAACCACACCAGAGCACCCACCTATCACCCACTAGCCAAAATTTGAAAGTGTTACTCGAGAGTAACATACGAAGAAAAGAAGGAGAAGCGATAAGGGATTTTAGAGGTCATATAAGTGCCAAAGATTAGAGGTGTTACAGGAGAGTAACAAACACAAAAAAGAAAGAGGAGAGATAAGGACGACAGATATTTCATAAGAAAGAAGGAGCAAACCACATCAGAGCACCCGCCAACCACCCAAGCGATAAGGGCGATAGATGTTTGATAGGAAAGAAGGAGCAAACCGCACGAGAACACCCATCAACCACCTAAACTTTGAGTTTGAGGAAAGAGAAGGACATAAACATGATAACGCATCAACGCAGTAACACATCGACACAACAACAGCACACACAGTAGTCCCATCCACGCAAAATTAAAACTAAAGGTTGGTGTTTTTATCCCCCAAACCCCACGACAATTTAGACCATTTGGAGGTGGGTGTCCGACCCTGCCTGTTGTCGGGGCCAACCTGGGCTGAGAGGGACACAACATCCCAGCCCAAAAAAAGTGAGATACTTGATAAAAATTTATCAGATTTTGGTCTTCTGCATGTGTCAACTAAGTGCGTAACAGCTACACCACAGACGCCAGTCACATCGACAAAGCAACAGTCATTTACTGCTGACAAAAAAGGAAGACAGACAGACATAAACAACAGAAGGCGGTAAAAAAGTAAGGCTACCAGTGGCGCCCTCCAACCACCCCACAATCATAACTGCGAACATAGATCTTGAACTTAGAAAGACAAAGAAAAGGGGGAAAAAAGGAAAACCAAACAAGTGTAAACTTCCTGTAAACATCCCTCAGGTAAACTCCATGTCCAAGACACACACATCTACATGGTCTCTCAAATTGAAAATACAACGCACATATCAGCATCATTCCACAAGGGCCTCAGCTTTTTTTGAAATTTTGATAAAATTAAATGGAAAAAAAAATTAACCCAAATCAGACACAACACCTGAGCACTTATTTCTCAATTAAAAACTAGGAAGGAAATAACAAAAGAGAACGAAACTACATTGTAATACGCCCCTTGGTGTCTATATTCAACTAAGCCCTTTATTAGAAAACTACCTTGGCACTCAATACTTTTCAACTAAATATGAAATGAAATAACGAAACAGAATGAAACTAAAATGAAAGATGCCCCTTTATGTCTTTACTCGAATACCTGCTTTGTTTGGAAACCTCCAAAACTTGAATTTCAGCTATTGTAAAATAACGCTGATGACACAGGGAGATTCTCATGTGTAAGTAACTCAAATAACAAATGACAGACAGAGACCATAAGACATTGTTTGTGAATTCTTCCATGAACCAACACATCGCATCATTATCATCATTTAAACTGAGTAATATTTTCAACAACACATCTGACTCTCGATTAGAAAACTCCTATGATCAAATTTAGCTTCACAGAACTTGTGCGGCCAAATGAAGGGAAAAAAGCTGTCAGATCAAGTTCTAAGATTCTTTCCTTGTTCCAAAGTAAGAGCATGAATAGTGAAAACCATGAAGCTTTATGTCATCTTATAACTACTGTGGTAAGAAAAAAAAAGGGGGACACAAACTCTCTTTTGTGGAAGAAATAAGTGGAAAAAGTGAAAAGCAAATCGTACTTGTTGTGAAGTGAATTATTATTGTATTTCCTCGAACACCAGGTGTAAAAAAAGAGGACCCATATAAAAGGCAATATCTCAATCATCTTTGCACCAATTTCAACAAAACTTTGAACAACTAAAATTCAACTACAGAGACATGTAACTTGTAAACATAAATCAACCTAAGTGATTGAAAAATATCAAGTTTTTAAAAATTTCAATCAAAACTGGGTTATTGGCAAAACTTTATAGCTTCTTAACTCTTTCCAGATGTATCGACGATATATCAGCGCGAGTCCACACCCCTTTCGGACGTATCATCGATATATCGGCTGTGATAGGGTGCCTCAGTTTTGTTTCGTTTTAACATGATCCATTATTTATAAGTATTTTTTATTGTTATTGAAAACTTGGAAAGGGTTTAGGAAACGAAAACACCTAGTTTCATTTGTCAAAGAGTCGGTCTGGCAAAAAACAAGAGAATTAGTTCTTGCGGAGTTGCATCAACAAAACGATCTAACCGGACTCAGTATAAATATCATAACTCAAACAAAAATTGGAATATTGCATTCAAATAAAAAGCTGCACATTCAGAAATTTATGGAGTCTGCTCTTGGCCTGTATATGATAAGATAGCTATGCTGATTCGCTTTTACATGTTTAGTGTGTGTAATTTTTTCAGTCAAAATGTATTTTTCTTACCACCCTCGCCATTTCAAACCCCTGCAGTGCAAACTTATGTTCAAAATTAATCCTTGTTTCATGTTGGAATGTATTCCTTATTCAATTTCCTTCAATTTGATATATCATAGGTTACGTTTTGAGTGATGGTTATGCTTATACAAAGTTATTTTGTACATCACCCGTGTAGCCGAATCGAGTCACAAGTTAATTACGTGTAGACCCCTAAACAACTACGTCCGGAAAGAGTTAAAAATGATTAATAATAATGTGTATTTGTGTATTAAAGATAAAACTCTTTTTTTTTAAATGACACTGCCATAGACAGAGTGCCAAAACACAGACCACCCCTTCACAGTGCAAGGTTTTTTGTAAGACAAAGTCTATAGAAACAACCCAAAATTGAACAGTTCAATGTCAATATTAAACAGCAGGTCCAAACAATCGACCCAGAAACTCGTCTCAGTTACTCAAAGTTTCAGCTGCGGATCTGAGCTAGTCAGGAGAGAAATGGCCTACTGAAGAGTCATGGTACACTGGACAGAAAGGGTCAACACCTGAAGCCTAAAATTTAAATTGCGCCCAATTTCATTGAGTTAACCATAACTAGTTAACACAAGAGACACAAAGCAAAAAGGTTACATGCCGAAGAAAAGCTGGATTATGAAAGACGAAAAAATTACATACAGCAAAACACGGAAAAACTGTCAGCGACACAGCGACACAAAAGGGGTGTGCCAGCCATCAGAACAGTGTCAAACTACCTCAAATTAACATCAAAAGCCAAACCCTTCCAATTTGATCTCCAATCTAAATAAGTACTGTGGGTCTATTTGCTGTACAGGAGTACAGAGGGTTAATATTGAGTTTCAGTAAAAAGAAGCACCTTCACACGATTAATACTTATTTAGTGTCGGAGCACATTCACACGATTAACACTCATTATTGCCAGGAGTAAAGAGAAGAACATCCATGTGAAATGATAATTTAATGCAAGGAGTAAAGAAAGAACTTCCACATAATTAATGGTCACTTAGTGCCAGGAGTAAAGAGAAGTACATCCACACGATAAACACTCATTAAGTGTTGGGAGTAAAGAGGAGAACATCCAAATGAAATTATCATTTAATGCTAGGAATAAAGAAAGCACATCCACACAATTAATGGTCATTTAGTGCCAGGAGTAGAGAAGCACATCCATAAGGTAACCTCATCGAACTGGCCCCTTCATCTACAAGTTGGAATGTCTAGATACAGGAAGGTACATCCTGCACTATATCAACAAAAGAAAAGTCAAATTACGCCACTGTGAACACAGAGTTGTCGTCTTTGACGGTCAAGAAAACAACATACAGTGAAGGCACGCCCGCTCAAAATCTCTGGTCAATAAAAAGAACAAAGGCATGTTTAAAGGAAGATTGAAACAGGAAAAAAATGTGAAAAAAATATACAACTCTACTAAGCCTGAATACAAATAAGGTTACAATATAAAAATATGTCAACACAGCAAATGTAAAAAAAAGTGTATAGAGAGAGTGAAAACAGCGCGTCTAAAATCTACACGCTATAGTGTGCCCTTCACAGAGGAGAATAAATACACTACCTAACACCCCCCCCCCCTTTCCAAACAGCATAAGATCTCCACAGTGAAGGTCACAGCCAGGACCACAGGAAAGGGAAAAATGACGGACGGAAGATGCTACAAGCTAACCCAGATGACTAGTGGCAGCCATATTGTATGCCAGCTCACACCAGGAAAAAAACCCCAGCAACAGCTTCATCTGAAAGTGTGAGGACTTTGCGTGCTGGCCATGGCTTATTTATGGAAAATCCCACCAGTCTATGCAGACAAGGCTAGAAAAAACCACCAAAAATCCCATCTGTCCACTCAAGTCCTCTGTGTGCAGCTGCCAAAAATCTAACCATTACAATACAGATGCTGGTAAAGTTAGGAGGTTACTTACAGGATGGAAAATACTATGGAGCCCACTTAAACTTTAAATAAAAAATCTGCCGGGCCTCCTGATTTTCTTTGGTCTAGCCGAGTTTTTGGCTTAAAGAGTGTACTTAAGTAGAAGAAAAAAATAAAGGATTTTTAAAATTCACTGTGAACTGTTTAAGCGGATTCCACTCTATTTTTTCAAGATGGAATTTGCAATTTCTACTCAAACACCTTGCACCCCCCCACCCCCACCCCTCCCACCCCCACCCCTCCCACCTTTCCTACAACTACCCCCCAGTTGTTCTTTCCCTTCCCAGTGGTCAGGTCAAAGAGGTGAAAGGTCGCACCAGTCTACACACCAAAGCCAAAAGCAACACAAGTGAGGAGGTCACTGGAGCTTCTTGGAGCTCAGCTGCTCCACCTGCATGCTCCACTGGTCAAACTCTCCGCTGTGGTCACTGCTGAAACACTCCTTCCTCCCCAGCGGTTGCTGCTCCTGTTGTTGCTTCAGCTCCTGGTACGTGATGAACACCTTGGCGTACTCGGGCTTCTTCTCCGCGTACGTTTTGAACTCATCTGTGGACGAGTGATGTGTTGTCAGCCTCTCGAGAAGCACATAGATGTGATCAGGGCTGTTTTAGTTTTAGTAGAGGTTTTACGGCGCTTGCAACTGCATAAGGTCATATGAGCACCAAAGGGTGGATGTCAACAAAGAAGCCCTTACTGGGAATCGCGCTTACTCCGCTCAAGTCTCTAGCTTCAGCAGCACAAAGTCTGTTTCAACTATCAAGGCACCCCGGAAATAGCGGGTCACAAGAGTGTGACAAACATACAAAAGAAGAAGAGGAAAATGATGATAGTACGGATTAGGAAAGAAAAAAAAGCAGTTCCCTGTTGCAGTTCAGGCACAATTATGAGCATGACATTGATGAATCAGCCCATTTACAATTACAATTCCACTGTACATAAAAACATATTGAATTTTTAAAAAAGCACATCAACTTGTTTTAGTAAGAGTTTTACGGCACTGGCAACACAAATAGGTCTGTCAAATCGATACCATAGTGGTCATTTGGTTTGTTTGAGTCTTCGTAGAAAAGCACATAAATGTGATCACAATTATTTAGTTTGAGTCAAAAGAAGCAAATCGATACAATAAAGGTAATTTAATTTTAGGAAAAAGACACAATAACAGTCATCTGTTTGTCTGGGTAAAAAGAAGCACACGAATCCCTCATGGCTTAGCAGTTACCAAACAAACAATACTGATAAAGAAAAACCAACGAAGTTCATTTGAAGGTCAACAAAACTTGAACAATACCTGTAGTTCCTTGGTGTAAATTACAACTCCCACCGCCATCCTCCCTTACCCCTTAGCGACACAAAATTAGTAGCTGTGGTTCACACCTTAACTTTAACCAAACAGTATCTAAATCAGTTGATGGAGGTGATAAGTGCTTTCACCAATCACTTATCACCTTTATCAACAGAATCAGATGTAATAAACTATGAAGCATCTATCGATCTGTATGTCTATTTTTTCTCTCCCCGCACTCTGCCCTCTTACCTATGGTGATCTTTCCATCCCCCGTGACGTCGACTTCCTCAAATAATCGCTCGGCATCTGTGTCGGAGATGTTGAAGGCTCCCGTCAGAATGTGCTGCAGCTCCTCCGGAGTGATGTGCCCTTTGTTCTCTGTGTCAAACAGCTGGCAGACAAAACAGCACAGATGTTAGTACAGTGTAACATTAACAATAATCGTCATCATCATCATCATAATACCTTTAATATAATAACTATAATAATAACAACAATAAAAATCATCATCATAAAAACTTTAATAAAATAATAATAATAATAACAATAACAATAACAATAACTCAGCATCATCATTTCTATAACTTTAATATAATAACCATAATAAAGAAGACAATAATTACAGACTGAATTCATATAGCACTCTATCCCATCCAACCACCCAACCATTCCTCACCTGAAATGCCAGTTGGATGGTTTCGTCATTGTTGGCCGGCTCAGAGATGAGAGACAATCCAATGACGTACTCGCGGAAGTCGATGGTTCCAGACCCGTCCTGGGGAGACAGAAAAAGGCTCGTCTGAAATTTGTGAGTTAAAGAGGAGCACATCTACACAATAATGCCCACTTGGGAAAAAGTAAAACGGCCAGACGGGATCAAGAGAGATAGTTAAGAAAGAGGGCTTATAAGTGACACCATTTAACCACCCACACCGGCGGTCTGTAATATATTAAACTTGGAGGCTAAAGTAAAGCGCAGTCATTCAAATTCAAAGTTAAAAAAAAAAGAGCTGTCACTCCAATTCAAACCACAATTACCTACATCAGGTCACCACAGAACAATCTGATGTATCTCAGAGTGTGGGGCATATACTAACTGACCTTCTGACCCCTGTACACAACCTGACCTTCAGACCCCCAACCTTCCCAGGAACAGAAGAGTGACTGACCCTGTCGTACAGATCAAACACTTGCTGAAGGGCGTCAGATTTGGGTAGCAGCAGATACCGGCTGAACTCCTCAAAGGTAATGTTTGCGCTCCCTTTCCGCCACACCGCGCCTTTGATGTCCTTGAACTTGACCAGCAAGTCTTGCATCTTGTCAAAGTTTACGCTGAACAAAGAAAACAAAAGAGTTTGTTTTTTAGTAAGAGTTTTATGGAAGTTGTAACACAATTAGGTAATATGAGTGCCGAAGATTAGAATTTTTACTAGATAGAGAGAAACAAACACAAAAAAGAAAGAGGAGAGAAAAGGGTGATGGACTCTTGAAAAGAAAGAAGGAGCAAACCACACCAGACTACCTGCCAACCATCAACTGTTTGAGTAAAAAGAAGCACATCAACACAATAATGGCCATATAGCACAGTATAAAAATAAGACAGACGGAAACGAGGGAAGGAAAAGAAGTAGGACCTACTAGTGGCATCCTCCAACCAGACATGAAAGGGCTCGCCTAATGCTTGACAGAAAACAAATTTGTCAATATACAATAGTGACCACTCAGTGGCGAGTTCGGGGACAGATAAGCACAACCACACCATGGCTGTCCTTAAACGCTGGGAAGAAGATTAACATTTTAAAAAGTAATTAGATCATATAGGAGAAAGGCTTCCAACCCGGCCTGTCAGGGCCAACCCTGGTCAAAAGAGAACTATTAGGGATACAACATCCCAGTAAAATGACCGTGATACTTGATCAAAATTTCTTCAAACTCTAGAATTGAACCCAAGTCTCCTTCATGCAACAGCAAAGCACTTAACTGTTATGTCACAGACAGGGGCAAACACATAATAGACTCACCCTAGTTTGGAGTGAAGTTTCTCAAACTCCACCAGACCGGCGTGCGCTGGCAGCTTGAGCTTCTGAGCTGTTGTCATGAGGCGGCAGTCGTCGTAGGTGTGGTCTGTCACTGGGCACTTCAGGGATCTGTATGGGGGAGGCGGGGAGAGAGAAAGACAGGGGGATATTCATCATATCTGAAGTGTACAGTTTCTAAAAAAAGTGAAAAAGTCAAAAACACTAGAGGGAGAGTAATGAAGTAGGACCTTCTATTGGCAACCTCCTATCGTCCATGAAAAAGCAAAGAAAGAAGCAACGGAGGGAAAGAAAAGAATAGAACCTTCCAGAGGAATCCTCCAAACACCCATAACCGGCCACAAAAAATTGTCAAAGTAACACCAGAATGGAAGATGGAAGTGGAGGGAGCACACCACACTATAAAGCTAATCAAATATCTAAAGAAACAAAACTATCATTACAGCTTCTCCTCTCCTTATACAAACACTTCTTTAAAATGACACACACACTAGCACAATAACTGACACACAGTACTTGGGGCAAAAACTAACACCATAAAGTGCTGAACATAGTCCAATCAGGACACATAAAAAATAAGCAGAAGGAATACAGTAACAGGATAGGTACAGAAAAAGAAATCACACGATAACAGAAAGTACACAGTAACAGAAAGTATACAGTAACACTGATGAGTACAGCCCAGCTTACTTACTCTGCCATCAAAGTTCTCACGTTATTCGCAAACAATTTGGGGTCAGCCTTTTCCTCTTCACTAGGGGTGTACACAGGAAGATACTGGAAACAAACAAAAAAAAACCAACAAACTTCAACAAAGAACAACAGGTAAAACACTTTAACGTGCTGACAAAATACATACCACATATAGTCAGCCAGCTGTTTAGATGTAGCAATTACAAAATTTTGTCAAATTTATTATTTCAATATTTTTATCTGTGGTATCGGTTGAATGTACACAAGAAATATTTGGTAAAAATTCCAATTTTCAAAGCTGAAAAAAAAACCCCCAGCAGGACAAGATACATAAAGAACGTACAAAAGTCTAAATAAATTAACCAGATTTTATTTCTATCCTGAAAAATGTCGCTTTCTGGGATTAAGGGGAGGAGCAACCCTTGATTTTGCCGATTTTGGGTCAGGCTATATGCAAATTGAGATGTTGGCTAATTTTTGAAGATCAACCAGTTCTTTGTCTAAAAATAGCATGGAGGCGATTGAGAAATTGTCCCTCCTAAATTGTCTTTGAAAACAGGAGGGTGGGTTAATATAGTGAATTTTCACAATAATTGTCGTTTTTCTTAAGTAATTTTTGGGGGGGCAGTTTTTTCCCTCCTCCTTCCTTTTGACATGAAACTTTCAGAAAACATAGATGGCAAGGCTGCCATCAATGTAACAGAGAGATATTAGCGGAAAAAAATAAGACTTTTCCATTGGCAAGCGATTAGCTAACCTGAATTTAGAAAAGGTTTTTTTTACATTGAGAAAATTCTCTTTTTTTTTCATTTTTCACTTATTGAAAAATACTTGCTGTTACACTGACAAGGTCTGGTTAAGGTATACTCTCACCATATTTGATCAAATTTGGTCAGTAAATAAGAAAGCCTTAGGATTTGAAATTCGTTGTTTTTATTTTCAAGAGGGCGGCAGTTTCCATAGCAACCGCAGTAGCTATGCCAAAATAAAATTGCGTACCAAGAGATTTTACTATGCGTAACTTATTTGTGTACTTAGATTAGATCTCAGACAACAAGCATAGAAAATGGTCCCCAAGGGTAGTTCCTCTCGTTAAGACATTTGAACAGCTTGCCAACCATTTGTGTAGAAACCCGCAAGAACTGGGAATGTGTCGTTGTTTTGACATTTTGTCTTTTTGTAACCATGTCAAGGCACTCTCCTGAGAAATCTGTACTTTAAATTTCTTAAAATATCTGCTCAAAAGATGAACACAAGAATCTGAGGAAGCCCCTTGTATAAAAAACTGAAATTTGACCCTTGTGTATCTGTGTGTGTATTATATGCGTGTGTGCATATATGTATGCACGTGTATATGTACATGCAGTTGAGTGTGTGTGTGAGTATTGCATGTGTCAGCTTTATAGTGTTTTAGCACATGTTATCAGCAGCTTGCACTGTATGCTTCCTGGGAAGCCAAGAACGTTTCCAAGTTGTGTTCTAGGGTCTGCTTGGGTAATTATAGATATAAAGCGCAGAGAGCATGCTGTAGATCATGGATATCTTGTCACACCTTGTCCTCAGTGTTGGGGTCACTACAGTCGGAACATGTCCATCTCTGCTCTCCCCTCTCAGAATCCATCCCAGAGTCTGTCTGCTTACAGTCTCCATCATAATCTGGTTGAAGATCCGTCGCGCTATACAAATTTTTGTATGTGTCTATGTTTGTGTAGGTGTATAAGTGACTGTGTGTGTATTGTGTGTGTGCCTATGTCTGTGCAGGTGTACATGTGACTGCGTGTGTAATGTGTATGCATCTACGTCTGTGTATGTGTCTGTCTGTCTATTGTGTATGTGACTATGTCTGTGCAGGTGTATATGTGACTGTGTGTAATGTGTATGTGTCAACGTCTGTGTATGTGTCTATGTCTGTCTATTGTGTATGTGCCTATGTCCGTGTATGTATTGTGTATGTGCCTATGTCTGTGTATTCGTGAATGTGTCTTATCTCCGTGTATTGAGTGAATGCCTATGTCTGTGTATGTGTGTACGTTTTGTGTAAGTGCTTATGTCTGTGTATTTGTGTATGTGTATGTGTCTATGTCTGTGTATTTGTGTATGTGTATGTGGTATGTCTGTGTATTGTGTGTGTGTGCCTATGTCTGTGTATACGCCTATGTCTGGGTATGTGTTTATGTGACAGTGCGTGTATATGTGTATATGTCTATTGTCTATGTCTGTGTATTGTGTATGTGCCTATGTGAGAGAGTGCAGGCTTAGTTTACTGACCTCAATCTCAATGCGGGTGTAGAACTGGCACAGGGTCAGCCAAAGCTGAGTAAACCTGGGGGAAGGAAGGGGGTTGTTATTGGGGGTGGTAGTGATGATGATGATGATGATGATGATGATGATGATGATGATGATGATGATGATGATGATGACAGTGATGAAGGTCAAGATGACAATGATGATGGTGATGACAACAATGATGATGATGAGATGATGATGACGATAATGACAATGACAACAATGATGGGCACACCGACACATAGACAGACAGATAGGACTGGTCGATAAACAGACAGACAGACACAACGGCAGGTAGATGAGTGGATGAACTGACAGACAAACTGATAGATGGATAGACACAGACATACAGACTGACAGAAGCTCTGAAGGACAGATAGACTCACGCTCCAGGTCCCTCCCATGTCCAGGTGATGGTGTCCTGTGAAGCAAACAAACATTGGTCACTGTACTGGTGGTTCTCTCTTTCTCTTTCTACCTCTCCATCTCTCCTTCACCATCTTTCTCTTTCTACCTCTCCATCTCTCCTTCACCATCTTTCTCTTTCTACCTCTCCATCTCTCCTTCACCATCTTTCTCTCTCTTGCCCCAAACCTCACTCTCTTGTTCTCCCATTCACTCTTCTCTTGTCCGTCTCTCCTGCCCCCCCCCCTATCCCCCCCGTTTCTCTCATTCAATCACTTTTTGTCCATCTACCCACCCCAGTCTGTTTCTCTCAACTGCTACCCCCCTCCTCCTCCCTCTTTTGTTCGCTTGCCTCTCCACCCACCCCTGCCCCAGTGTTTCTCCTTCCCCTCATCAAAACACACACAGAGAAACACGCACAAACATACTCACCAGTCTGTTGGGATATTTGACACACACTGGCTGTACCGGTACTCCAGGGTAGAAGGCACCTGGAACACACAACTTTGGCCCATCAAGAACACATACACAGAACAACACACCCAAGCAACAACGCACCATGAGTTTTGGCACAGTGTGTGATGACACACACAACACAACACAACACACATAGGGAACAACACAGTGTGGGTTTTGGCACAGTATATGATAACACACAATACAATACAAAGAATGACACACATAGGGAACAGCACAGCATGAGTTTTAGCACAGTGTGTAATAACACACAACACAACACACATAGGGAACAGCACAGCATGAGCTTTGGCATAGCGTGTGATAACAAACACAACACACACAGGGAACAGCACAGCATAAGTTTTTGGCACAGTATGTGAGCACATACGGAACAATACACAATGAAAAACACTCGCACAACAACACACACAGGGAACAACCCACGCAGCGAACAACACACACAGGGAACAACACAGCATGAGTTTTGGCACAGTGGGAACACACACACAGATCAAGACAAAGGGAACAACACATATTGGCAATGGTGAGGCTGATGATTGTGTGTGTGTGCGTGTGTGTGTGTGTGTGTGTGTGTGTGTGTGTGTGTGTGTGTGTGTGTGTTGTGTGTGAGAGAGTGAGTGAAAGTGAGTGAGTGTATCTGTATATGTGTGCATGTGCGAGTGTGTGTATATCTCACCCTGTTTGAAGGTATTGAGGCAGGAGTGGTTGGTGCCCGTTCTCTCTGGGAAGATGATGATGATGCTGATGTGTGTGAGTATGTATATGTGAGATTGTACATTAGTGTGTGTATATTTGTGTGTGTGTGCGCGTGTGTGTGTATAAGTGAGATTAAATGTGCGTGTGAGAGAATGTATGTGTGTGTGAGCGAGCATGTATGTGTGTGTCTGTGTGTGTGTCTGTGTGTGTGCGTGTGCATGCATGTGTACAGTATGTATATTATATCTCACCCCGTTTGAAGGAGATGAGGCAGGTGTGGTTGGTGCACGTTCTCTCTGGGAAGATGATGATGATGATGTGTTTGTGTGTGTGTGTGTGTGTGTGTGTGTGTGTGTGTGTGTGTGTGTGTGAGAGAATGGGTGAGTGTGTG